CTTATACACATCTAGATGTGTATAAGAGACAGCTCTCTCTCCCTCCCCCCCCCCTCCCTCACCACCGTCTCTCCCTCTCCCCTCAAATACCAACTGCACTTCCTTCCATCCCCGCTTCCTGTCTCCGTGCTCCTCACCAGCAGCAGGTCTCTTCATGCAGAAGACCTCACTTGCATTTCTCGGCGCGTCCACGCTTACGCTGGCGCCGATGCCCAATGCGCTTCTCAGTGGAGCTCTAGTTTGGGCTTGTCAATCTGAACGAGTGCTCCTCGCCCCAGCGAAGCATGCATCCACGCTTATTTGCTTCTCCATAGCCTATGCAGCTGTTGTTTTGGCATGTGCGGCGTGCGCCACGACTACGGGTGGAATGCTGCTGCTTCGGGTTTTTTCAAGCCGATGGCGTGCGAGAAGAAATCTATTCCCCTTCCCCCCCTCCCCCTCTCCCTCTCCGTCGCTTCCTCTCTTTCTCTCTCTCACTCTCTCTTTGTCTCTCCCGCTCTCCCCCTCCACCCTTTCTCCCTCCTTTTTCTCCCCTTCCGACGACAAAGGAAGGGTCCTCTCTCTGATGAAGCCGCACGTGGCATGCGGCAGAAAGGCCTCGGGGAAGTGGCACTCCCTCCTGTGGATCTGCAAGCTGGTCCTCTCGCCTTGAGCGATAACAGGATCCTATAGCTGCATGGTGCAGGATCTTTCTCTCTCTCCCTATCCCCTCTCTCCCGTTCTCCTCACCAATCCCCTGCTGTTCATCGGCTTGAGACTCAACTGGAATGTAATTGGTAATTTCAACCGTCCGGAACGACGTTTTTTTTTCAAGCAGCTCTCTATTTCTGTGTGGATCAATGCTCTCCAGTGCTTGGTGTGATTGGTTTGCGGTGGATTTGGTTGTTCTCTTGTTTTAATGCATATGAGGATATGGGGTTTATATTTTGTTCTGCATATTAAGTTTATGGGTGTATGACCCAAACCCCAGGGATTTGCGAGCGATGTAGCAAGCGGTTATCCTCTCACGATCCACGATGCCTCACGATGACAACTGATAGGGTGATCGACTTGAGATCGGTAACAAGGGCAACCAACCACTGATTTGGCGAAACCCCGAGATTCGGGACTATCACCCCCTGTTTTTTCCATGCACATTCACCATCAGTCTCCACTTAGGTATACACTACTCTCCTGGTCCTAGACTTGATAACGCATATAGCAAACGATCTAGACTGAGCCCCCACACCATGATGCCGATGAAAAATCCAGGGGACACATGTAGCGGATTCGTGATCCTTCATACTTCACTTTCGCCCCTTTTTTTCTGCACCCGAATTAATGAGTAGGCGGATCTGCATTACCTCACCCACCGCTAAAAGACTGGCACTAGCCCGCCTTCGTCCCTCGTCGAGTACTATAATCACCTCCCCCAAAGTTGAATCTCAAAACGACTAATGGCCATCTTGTTTGGATGAATACTGGTTACATTTGTTATATGATGAACAAGCAGTTGTGTTTTCATGAGAACGTGGTATTACTCAGAAACTCGAGTAGATGTCGTTTTCCGCCACTACAGATAAAATCTACCATACTTGCGAATGTTACCTAAGCTAGAGGTGTGCCAATGACCTGTCATCGGAGATCATACCTGGCATAGTGAAACTTGCCATGGGGTGCATTGAAGCACACACATCAAAACACACACACACACACACACACACACACACACACACACACACACACACACACACGTGTGAGTGCTCACACATATTGTAGAAGCAGTTACATCCATGAACTTCACTATTTGTAATCATGAGTGGGGGGGACGGAGAAAAATCCGGTTGAGCACTTCTGGCGTCTTGAAAAGGTGGGGGGGGGGGGGGGGGGGGGGGGGGGGGGGGGGGAGGATAAGGGGATAGGGGGACAAGGTTAAAAGGCGGTTTGGGGGGGGGGGGGGGGGGAAGATGTCCTTTTCACAGTCGTCTCTGTCTGGAATGAACAGACAACTGCTAAAACACTCAAAATGAAATTTGGAAATACTCTGGATCCCAAAACCGGGAAACGCATCCCTGGTAGTACCTACCGTGGTATCTGTCCGCCGCTTTCTCAGCATAGCTATATCCTCTCCCCTTCTCCGTTATTACATGGAGAAGGACAGGTCCTGTTCCCTGAGTATTCTTTACCTCCTTCAGGATGGTCACGAGATCGTCCATAGAATGGCCATTGACTGGCCCAATGTAATAAAGGCCAAGCTCCTCAAAGAGAGTCGATCCAGAGCCGCTAATCATTCCACGAGCGTATTCATCCACCTTCGCGGCCAACTCATGAACCTGTCCTCCGATTTGCTTCGTCATTCCCTGATCGAAGATCGAATCAC